GATACTCCCACTAGGTTTATATCTGGGACTCTCCACCATTTGACCTTAGAACTGAAGAAGCTTCTCGGATGAGAGGTGAAACGTCTTCAAGTAACTTAAAGAAGTCCAGACGCTTTTCTTTGCAAGCTCCTTTGACCAGCTAGAGTATGCAGTCAGAACATAAGTACTAATAAAAAGCTTATTGCATCAGATGCTAGACTCATTTTGACATTTACGGACAATGAAACATGGAATGACAACATGCTTGACTCATGTTAAAGAAGTTTTGCAAAATGTTACCTAAAATCGCCAGCTGATGCAGAATTGCCGTCTCATTGCCAGACATAAAGTAGAATCCGTGTAGTTTTCTGGGAGGTGATATATATGTTTTTATTTCATTCCCATCAGACAGCTGACCATGAGCTGTCTGGTGTTTCTCAAGTGCTCCCTATAGTCATCCCATACTCTCTCCTTCTCATTTGCCCAGGACTCTGTTCGTGTGTAAATTTATAAAGCCAGCTAAAGCCTCAGGGTGATGCAAGAGGTGGAAAAATGGGAGTGTCTAAAGCTCAGTGCTTACCTGTATGAAGACGTTTTCAGGAATTAGTTACACAAGATATTAAAATCTATAAATGCATTTGCTTTACATTGTTTGTTTTCCTAAACCTTTCCAGTATCAAATATCCTAAACATTACAATCTGCTTACTAACTGCTATTTGAATTTTTTTTTATCTCTACTGGAAAACAGAAGATTGTGCTTGTTGGCAGACAAAAGCGCCTGGAAAAGCTCAACAATGCCACTGTAACTGAAGACTGGGAGAAAGCTGCCTAGCTTTTATAAGGGGGTTAAAAATACGGCGTAACTAGATCCACCCTGCAGTCTATTTTTAGAACAGCCTGGTTGATAATTTGTTAGTTAGAGTACTTTTTGACTTTCAAATATGAGCCCGATTAAATATTTGCAGAACAGCAAACAACATTATTCAGGTTTCAGACTCTCTTGTCTGTCAGGTCTCTGTATTACCCATATGGAAAATTATGCAAAAAATTAAGAATGACGTAAGGTTGAAGTATACATTCACTACTGTAGTCAATGGGAATTTGTTAAAAAAAAAATGTTTTCTATTTTCCCCCCCATATGTTTGGACTTCATCACAGACATAGTAGTTTTTGTAACATAAAGCAAACACTAGAATTGTAAACAGTCCCCCTAAGTCACATCTAGATTCACACACTTGCCGAGTGGTGGATACTGTAGTGAGTATCCTGAGCTATAGATACAGTGGCTTGCAAAAGTATTCGGCCCCCTTGAAGTTTTCCACATTTTGTCACATTATAGCCACAAACATGGATCAATTTTACTGGAATTCCACATGAAAGACCAACACAAAGTGGTGCACACGTGAGAAGTGGAACGAAAATCATACATGATTCCAAA